CTGTCACACTGCGGCATTATGGGTATTTAGCAAAACTGTCACACTGTGGCATTTTGGGCATTTAGCAAAACTCTGTCACACTGCAGTATTATGGGTATTTAGCAAAACTCTTGTCACCCACCAGCATTTTGGGCATTAGCAAAAGTCTTCTACGCTGTAGCATTTTGGGTATGGGCAGAAGTCTAGGACAATCTGGCATTTCGGGTCATGCGCACCAGCATTTCAACCTGAGGCATATACACTTACTGGGCAATGGGCAACAGCCAATCACACTAAGGTATTTTGGGTAATGGGCAACAGCCAATCACACTGAGGTATTTTGGGTAATGGGCAACAGCCAATCACACTGTGGTATTTTGGGTAATGGGCAAACTGTGGTATTTTGGGTAATGGGCAACAGCCAATCACACTGTGGTATTTTGGGTAATGGGTAAACTGTGGTATTTTGGGTAACGGGCAACAGCCAATCACACTGTGGTATTTTGGGTAATGGGCAAACTGTGGTATTTTGGGTAATGGGCAACAGCCAATCACACTGTGGTATTTTGGGTAATGGGTAACAGCCAATCACACTGTGGTATTTTGGGTAATGGGTAAACTGGTATTTTGGGTAATGGGCAACAGCCAATCACACTGTGGTATTTTGGGTAATGGGCAAACTGTGGTATTTTGGGTAATGGGCAACAGCCAATCACACTGTGGTATTTTGGGTAATGGGCAACAGCCAATCACACTGTGGTATTTTGGGTAATGGGCAACAGCCAATCACACTGTGGTATTTTGGGTAATGGGCAACAGCCAATCACACGGAGGTATTTTGGGTAATGGGCAAACTGTGGTATTTTGGGTAACGGGCAACAGCCAATCACACTGTGGTATTTTGGGTAATGGGCAACAGCCAATCACACGGAGGTATTTTGGGTAATGGGCAAACTGTGGTATTTTGGGTAACGGGCAACAGCCAATCACACTGTGGTATTTTGGGTAATGGGCAACAGCCAATCACACTGTGGTATTTTGGGTAATGGGCAACAGCCAATCACACGGAGGTATTTTGGGTAATGGGCAAACTGTGGTATTTTGGGTAACGGGCAACAGCCAATCACACTGTGGTATTTTGGGTAATGGGCAACAGC